TGTTGTCTCAGGATATTTTGTGATTGATTGACATGTGGACTGACAAGTACCCTTCAATTGGGCGCCAGCCTCCCGTATCTCCCATCCCAACGCGACCTTTTCCTTACAGTGAGAAAAGGATACATGTGTGCGAGTGGGACGTGCGAGAAGCCATGGCACAAATCGGCGGGCAGTATTACTTCCCTCCGGCTAACCGTCGTTCTGGGTTCGTAGAAGCCGGGTTTGTTATTATCGATACGCACTTCCCATCTTACTCGGTATTGTTGCCATTTAACGAGTTGATCGTCATTCCGTGGACGGCAATAGAACCCCACTGGCCGCGCACTCTTTGCACCGAATGGCAGCGTTTCGATCGCTACAAATCAAAAGGCTTTCACTACCGGATACTGAGTGAAGACGAGCACAAGGAAAGAGCCACGCGGCTGAGACAGTCCACTTTTGATACGGAACTAACCAACGAACGACGACGGGATTTGATACGGAAATGAGACACGCGAAGCGTGCCAAAGCCCTTCCGTTCTAAACGACGGGCCGTAGCGCGGTGGGAAGCGCGACAATATTTTTTAGATTGAATTCGGATTTCAAGTTTTTCCTCCTCCCGCTTTGTCTGCGCGCGTTCTGCGACGCGCAGAAAACGATCGACTTGCTTCATCGGACCAACACGGGGGATTTCAGTTTCGTTTGTGTCCCCACACTCAATTCTCAAAAATCCTTGGCGCATCCCATCTTGCTGTCTTTCTGGGCCTCTTTCCACTCATCTAACACTCCGAACGGAAGACAGCACAGGGCGTGAGGTTGCCCATCACACTCGTTCCATTGTTGTCAGACTTCACCATCCTTGCTAGGATTCCGTAGTGTGCCGGCCAAGCTAGTGCCGAAGCTCAACCATTCACAGTCATAGCGTGGTATGGTGTACATAACGTGCACACACTCAAAACAAACACACACACACACACACACACACAATACATACACACAAGAGGACATAGACACACACACCAACCCTAGTCTGGCCCCTTTTTTTTGTTGATTTGTTTTAAATTTTTGCATCTTTATTTTTTTTAAACACCTAATTTGCCATTTGAAAACTGAAAATCATAAATCGAATTTCGTTTTTCATTTTTTAAAAATCTTAAACAAAGTCGGATTCCGAAATTAAAAACATAGGATTGTAGGGTTTTCCAAACCCTACACCCCTATATTTTTTAAAAATTTTAACGTATTTTAAGCGGTAAAAAAAAAGAAATTAAAAAAACATGACGCGGACTGGGCCTCATAGGCCGCGGGCGCGACTGACTTTTTCAGCCGCAGCGGCCGAAATGCCCGCGGCCTAGACCGGGGGTGTCACAGAGCTGCTAGGGAAGGAGAAAGGACACGGAGGAGGAAGAAGGCCAGGACTAGGGAGGAGCGCCAGAGGTACTTACCTGGCTATGGTGGAAGCCATCTTCATCACCTTGGTGGGCGCTGTAACAAGAAGGCCCAGTCGGGGCAGAGCTACACCAAGAAGCTTCGAGGCAGAGGCAGACATGGCCGCCTGAGCTAGAGCAGCCATAGCTGCTTTGTGTTGTCTGTTGGACGTCGGGGTCAGGCCCAAGCAGTCCGCCATAGCATCGGTCTTGGATGAAGGAAGAGGAAGGCGGCCATGGCTATGGTGGACCTCATGTGATACCAGGAGTAGAAGAGAGGATTCATACATTGATTCTAGTTCAGCCATTCAACATTGTTACTATTATTTCTTGTGTGAATATAAGAGGAGAAGATAACGAGGAGGAGAGTGGTTGGCGAAGAAGAAGAGGATTTTCATTAGTCTATGCTGGTGTACGTCATCTTCTTCTACTTTCTTTCTTCTTCTTCTTCTTCTTCTTAACCTCTCTCCTCTCTCAAGTTCATTTCGTTTTGCAATTGGACGACATTTTACTCTCTGATGAATGTATACTTTGAAATTGATTAGGATCATAACATTGGTATCAGAGCGGATTCTACTTGCTGGTGAGAGTTGACTTTGCTCCCCTAACCGTAACCTAAGTGGTTGAGGGGACCACTTAGGGTTGGATGTTAAGGGAAGTGGGGCAGTGTGGCTAAGGGAAGCTGCCCCCACCTGGTTAGGTCATGTTGGGTCGACATTGAACCTAACTAGGTTGCTTGAGAGTGAGTTTGGGGTGGCGAGACATTTCATGGAGACTTCATGCGACAAGTTGAGAGAGGCGACAGTGAGAGGTACTCGTACCTGGAATTCGAGTTAAGGGAGACACTTGGCAACTTAAGGGTTGCCCTCAAGTAGG